ATCTTTCTCTTGCATCAGCCTTCTTTTTAGCCATCCCATTAACTCCATTCCATTGTTAAATGCCCTTTTCCTTGCTGGTGTTTTCAATTCTACCACCATCCAAAAAAGCGAAAGGAAGAAAGTCAACAGGTTTTAATATCTTTATTCTATTCCTTCCATCTCAGGAGGAGGTGAGAGTTCAGCCATGTCTGCCTCTGAGCAGGAACTTCCCTGGAGGGCCCTGTGAGCCCTGAATGAGTGTTTGCTGTTGAGTTGTCATCGATATCATTCTTTACAAGAATCTGTACCTGTTAAAAATCCACATAACTGTATATTTTGGGGGCCTAGATGGGATCTTAGAGATCTCCTTTAATCTCATTTTCCAGTGAAACCAGAATGAAGAAACTTGCACAAGGTGGTTTGTGACAGATCCAGGGCTGGTTACCTCAGGCATGTGCTTTCTTTCCAGAATACCATACTATTGCTCTAGAGAGGGCTTTGGGACAGCAAAAATCATGTCCTCAGCAATACAGAGTCGAGGCTTTGAACACTAACTCTGCTGTAGACGAAGGGTATCCTTGATCACGTTACCTAGCACCTCTGTACTTGAGGTTCCTTAAAAAGGGGTCAGTAGTTGCTATCCCATGGGCCAGTGCTGAGAGGTTTTAGGTACAAAGCAGGGGGTCAGTGACTCTTGGTGGCCCTTGACCAAATAAGGAAGCTGTTGTTCCTCATTCCCCCTTTTGCTGATATGTTTTGTTTCTCTCTGATCTCAGGTTCCTAGAGGTAGCACCAGCCAATGGCTGGAAGCAGGGTGAACCAGAAGGCAGACATCTTCTGAGTCCCAATCTGGAGTTACTGAACAATGGTGACCGGGTCCCTGAACTCTATAGCCTAGGCTTGGAGGGGACCAAAGGTGTTCTTGGCTATGAAAGAAAAGAATTTGGACGGCAGAACCTAAAAGGAAGACCGCCCCCTGGAGCAGATACATTTGCCACGGGAATCCATGTCAAACTCTGGGACTTTTGCAGAATCTCTCTGTCTACTCAGTTGTGGGGAGGTAGATGGCTCCAGGAAGGAGTCTAGTCAGCCTTGGGGGCCAGGCCAGGAGTGGATAGAACTAGACAAAGACAGTATGAAGGAGAAGGTGTTTGACCAGCCGAAGACAATCGAACCTGTACAGAAGCTGCTCCCTGGGGTGGACGAAGAGGCTCTGCAGGAAGCCGTGAAGACAGAGTGCTGGTGGAAGATGTGGGTGAAGGTGAGACCAAGCTAGAGAAGGAGGGACCAGTCCTGGACCCCAGGAGCCCTTTCAGCTATTTTCCTGTCTATAGACCAGATGGAATCTCAGACTATTTCAAGCTGAACAACACCCAGGAAAAGAGGCTCAAGGCTCCTCTCAGTCTCCCTTGGCATCCTTCATGAAGTACTTGCTAAAGTTCATCAGAGTGGCAGCCTTTTTCCTTTGTTTCCTTTCTATTTCTATTCGTTTTATACCCCTCCTTTCTCCCCCAACATTTTTCTTCCCTCCTCTCCATCCTTCCTTCTCTGTCTGCGCACTGAAGTTGCTGTCTATTCATATTTCTCCCCTCCTTCCATAGTTTCCTTTTTCTCTAAGTTTTCTGAACCTTGAGACTGAATGTCTGTCTGTATGCATACAGACTTCCTGAATCTCTCCTGTTCTTCCAGAAGCCAGTCTCCTTTGAGGATGTGGCAGTGAATTTCACTCAGGAAGAGTGGGAATGTCTAAATGCCAGTCAGAGGGTCCTCTACCAGGACGTTATGTCAGAGACCTTCAGAAACCTGGTGTCTGTGGGTAAGAGGCTGGGGTTCCCTCACCAGCACCCTGTCCAGGACTCTGGGACACCTGGTTTCCCTGGGCCAGTAGATGAGTTCATAATTAGCTTTACTGACTCTTGGTTCCATACCTTCAGGTGTAACAGATCTGGGTCACTAGGCTCAGGGTACAAGGAGAAATGAAAGCTTGCATGAAGGCAAAGATAACACTTGTAACATGATGACAGTGTTCTCAAAATTTGCAAATTTGCCTATTCATCCAACCAATACTTACTGAGTCACTCCTATTACATACCAGGCACTTTTTAGGAGCTGGCCTTTTGAGTGTCCCCTCCCTGTACCTGAGTGTCCCAGATTATGGTTCTTAAACCAAGGGTACAGAAGAAGGTAGCCTGCTGTCCCCATCAGGTGTGAAGGGGCGGAGCCTGGGAGGGACCTCAACTCTTCCTCTCCTTCGCCCTCTCCAGCCAGAATCTTTCTGTCTAATCCAGATCTGATCACCAAGCTTGAACAAGAAGAGAAACAGTGGAGAGCAGATCTCTGTCCCTCAAATGGAGGTCTTCATTCAGGTAAGAATTGCAGAGGAGAGAGGAGGGTGAAAAGGGCCCAGGAC